ATGCTTTCTAGGGCCGGCCCCGTGGCTTAGCAGTTGGGTGCACACGCTCCGCTGCTGGCGGCCCGGGTTCGGATCCTGGGCGCGTACTGACGCACCGCTTCTCCGGCCATGCTGAGGCTGCGTCCCACATACAGCAACTGGAAGGATGTGCAGCTACGACATGCAACTATCTACTGGGGCTTTGGGGAGAAAGAAAGAAATAAATAAAATTATTAAAAAAAAAAAAAACTTTCTAACTCCCTTTATGATTTCTTCCTTGATCCATGGGTTATTTTGAAGTGTATTATTTAGCTTCCAAGTATCTTGGAATTATCCAGAGAGCTTCCTGTTATTTATTTCTAATTGAATTCCACTGTTGTCTGAGAACATACTTCATATAACTTGAATCCTTTTAACCTTATTGAGACCTGTTTTACGTCCAGATTGTGATCTTTCTTGGTAAATGCCTTGTATGTACTTGAGAATAATATGTGTTCTGCTGTTGCGGCGGGTTATTGAAGTCTCCGGTCAAATTGTAGATTTGTCTCTCTCTCCTTGTAGTTTTCCGTCGTGTGTTTTGAAGCTCTATTGTTAGCTGCATAAATGTGTAGAATTATTATGTTCTCTTGATAAGTTGATGCCTTTATCGCTATGAAATGACTAGTATATCCCTGGAAATATTCTTCTCCACAGTCTACTGTGTCTGTTGCTAATACAGCACTTCTATGCTCCCTTGTCTGATGTCAGTGTGATAAACTGTCCTCCTGATCACCTCTTTGGATCTCAAAGGTGTTTGTTGTAGGCAGCATGTATGGGTGGTCCTTTGTTTTCTGTCTAATCTGAGAAAGTATGCCTTACTTTTAATGTGATTAATAACAGAATTAAGTTTGAGTCTATCATCTTGCTTTTGGTTTTTGTCTCATCTGATCTTTGTTTCATTTTCCCTCCATTTTTGCCTTCTTTTGGATTAATCAAGTATTTTCTTACATTTCTTAATGATTTTTCTTGTGCTTTGCTCCTTCGTTGGCTTATTACCTATGCTTCTTTTCTTATGTTAGTGGTTGCGTTAGGGTTCTCACACGCATCTTGAGTGTGTCGCAGTCTGTCCTCAAGCGATGTGCTGCTTGCTGTGGAACAGAGGCGCCTTACAAGGGTGCGCTTCATTTCTCCCCTCCCAGCCTGCATGGTTGTATCCTGTGTTTACATTTACTGGTTATAAACCCTATGTTGCATTCTTATGTTTGCTTAAACAGTTCTATCTTTTAGGGAGATTTAAATAATTTTTTAAAATCTTACATGTGTACTTAGGTTGTTATTTCCAGTGCTTTCCATTTCTTTGTGTAGGGCCATACTTTGGTTTGGCATCATCTACCTTTTGCCTGAAGGGCATCCTTTAACACACATAGCAGTGCAGGTCTGCTGGGAATTGATTCTGCAACTTTTTAATATCTGAGAATGTCTTCATTTTGTGTTTGCTTTGCTGAGGGTTTTTTTTTTTTTTTGCAACCTATGCTTTTCTAGTTTGCCATTTTTTTCTCAGTACTTGAACGATGTTCCTCCTATGTGTTCTTATGTGCTTCGTTTCTGACGAGAAGTTTGCAGTTATCCTTGTCTTGCTTCTCTGTATGTAATGTCTTTCTTCTGGCTGCTTTCAAGATGTTCTCTTTATCACTAGTTGTGAGCAATTTGATTATCAGGTACCTTAGTGTAATGTTCCTTGTGGTTCTCGTGGTTGGGGTTCGTTGAGCATCTTGGATCTGTGGGTGTATTGTTTTCATCTAGCTATTCTTCCAATATGATTTCTGTCCCTCCTCCTTTCTCTCTCCCCTCCTCAAGGGCTCTAGTCCCGTAGATGTTACGTGGCTTGAAGTTGTCCCCACAGCTCACTGAAGCTCTTGTTGGCTTTGTCAGTAGTTTCTATTGCTATGCCTTCAAGTTCACAAGTCTTTTCTTCTGCAGTGTCTAATGGGCTGTTAATCCCACTCAGTGTAGGTTTTTTTGTTTTGTTTTGTTTTGTTTTTTGTGAGGAAGATCAGCCCTGAGCTAACATCCATGCTAATCCTCCTCTTTTTGCTGAGGAAGACCGGCTCTGAGCTAACATCTATTGCCAATCCTCCTCCTTTTTTTTTTTTCTCCCCAAAGTCCCAGTAGATAGTTGTATGTCATAGTTGCACACCCTTCTAGTTGCCGTATGTGGGACGCGGCCCCAGCATGGCCAGAGAAGCGGTACGTCGGCGCGCGCCCGGGACCCGAACCCGGGCCGTCAGTAGTGGAGCGCGCGCACTTAACCACTAAGCCACAGGGCCGGCCCTACCCAGTGTAGTTTTCATTTTAGACATTGTAGTTTTCATATGTCCCATGCCATGCCTTTGTTAAACTTTTTTGACATGGAATACAGTTATAACTTTTATTGCCCTTCTCTGCTGCTTCTAACATCTGAATCCATTTCATTTAACTGACTCTTCTCAACATGGATCATGTTTTCTTTTCTCCTTCCTTGCATACCTGGTAATCTTTGAATGCTGCACACTGAATTTTACCTTCTTGCGTGCTGGGTCTTTTAATATTCCTCAGATTCCTTCTCAGCTTAGTTAAGGGATGAAGTTAAGTTATTTTCATCTGTTCAGTTTTTGCTTTTCCACTAACACTCTCAAGGCAGGACTGGGGCAGTCTGAGGGCTTACACAAATTGTTTCCTGTCTTTCAGGCATCGATGTCATCATTGTCTTGTGTTTGGTGTCTTAGAAACCATCTATTCATCAGTTCTGTGTTTTGTTTTCTCTTCTTGGTTATTGCAGATGTGAGGGTAAATTGGGTCCCCGTCACTCCATCTTGGCTGGAAGTAGAAGTAACTTTTAAACTTTTAAAAGAAAGCAATAGCTTCTCTTTCTGATTCTGAGTTCAGAAAGAGTTTCTTATGTAAGATACCAGAAACAATGGAAAAGGTTGATACATTCATCTTTGTTAAAATTCAGCACCTTTTCTCATCAAAAGGTTCCAAAATAAAATTAAAAACATGCCGTTAACTGAGAGAAGATATCTGCCTCACATAAAACCAACAATAGTTTGGTATCCAGAGTTTATAAAGAACTGCTATAAATACATAAATTTTTCCCCTGATAAAAAAAATTGGCAAAAGACATTTCAGAGGAGAGGAAACTTCACGTATGGCCAGTAAATATATGGGAAGAAGATCCAAATTGAGAGTTCAGTGAGACACCATTTTACACCCACTTGATTGATAAAAATTAAGAGAGCTGACAATACTCTTGCGTCAACAGGAATTCATTCGTTGCTGGTGGGAGTGTAAAGTGGTTTATCTATTTTGGAAAACAATTTGACGTTATCTTCTGTAGTCAGATAATTTGTACCCTGTGTTTCTAGGTGTGTACTGGGGAGGGGGAGCTAGATATGAACAAGGATTTCACATATAAGAATTTTCACCAGTAGACATGTATAAGAATGTATGTAACAGCACTGTTTATAATAGGAAAAGCAAACCTAAATAATCCAAATGACAGAAGAGTAGATGAGCTGTGGTGTATTCTCCAAATGGAATATTATACAGCTTACACTCTTATTTTATTAAAAGCAAGGAAATGATAAAGTTATGGATAGTCTTTATCTGGGGAGCACAAGAATGGGAGAAGAGAGGTGTGTAAAAGCAGATGCAAATATTAGGAATATCCTGGGTCTGTGTTGGGTGGTGGGCTTACAGGCCTTTGTTACATTATGCTTTATAACTTATATATTTGTTAAAGTTGATGTCATGTAGTATGTAAAATATATATTTTAAATAATTAATTTTAAAAGTTAAAGAGGATTGCCTTCTTGATATCAAAACTCGTTATAAAGCTAAACTAAAAATGTTTAGCATCTTTTAGTGCCATAAAGTAAGGCGGTGCTCAAAACAAGTGAACAAAAGCCTACATGGTGGGTATGAGGACGCAGGACCAACTGAGGAGCCGCAGTGGCCAAGGCTGGAACACTTCGAGCAACAGAATAAAATAATGTAGTTTTGGCTTATAACCCAAAGTATAAAATGAATGTCCACGAGTCCATACTGATATAAATAAATAATTGAATAAATAAATAGGGGAGAAAAGACCATTCTCTTCTGCAGAATTCCAAATAACATATGCAGATACTCTGCCCTTAGGGAGGGGCATAACTCTCTACTCCGTAAGTATGGGCTGTGCGTAGTGACGTCCTCCCAAAGAGCACAGGATGGAAAGGGGGGAAAGAAAAACAAGGGGAGACACCTGTAAACACATCTCAGCCGGGTGACCAAGGTCACGTCAACAGAGACGAGTCCTGAGAGAGCACGGACCCCTGACAGGACGTGAGGAGGAGGCACTGGACCCTGTGCTCTTCCTCCCCCAAACCCACAAGCCCAGGCTCATCATGAGCAAACACCAGACAAATCCCAGCAGAAGGACAGTCTCCAAAGTCCCCGACCAGCACTCTGCAAAGTGTCGTGGTCATCTGGGACCAGGAAAGTCTGAGAGACCGTCAGAGCCCAGAGGAGCCTCAGGAGACAGGACGACCAAATGTCAGGTGGGATCCAGGATGGGGTCCCGGAGCAGAAAAAAGACACTGGGTAAAAACTAAGGAAACTGAAAAAGCCTGGACTTTAGTTCGTGCTAATGTATCAATATTGGCTCATTAATTGTAAGAAATGCACATACTCATGTAAAATGTTAATCACAGGGACCTGGGTGCGGGGTGTATGGGAACTCTGCTTTTTCTGCCTTAGCCCCTCTCTTACCTGCATTGTCTTCTTCCCTGCCCGTGAAGTTGGCCTCACATTCTCTCTTTGTGTCACTTGTGACTCCTGCCCACCTGACCCCAGTCAGAGAACTCTGTCTTGTGCAGTTGGTGACAGTGTGGAGCACAGGCATGTCGGGGTCTTCTGACCCCCACCCTGCCCTCATTCGCCCCCTTCGTGCATGGGAGGTGATATGACGTGTGGCCACATGGGGAGGCCACCTGTACTGAAGCACTGCGTGGTCTCTCTCACAGTGGGCATCCCCACCATCCGGTGGTGTGGGGCAGAGGGAGACTACAACGTCATGGTGATGGAGCTGTTGGGACCAAGCCTGGAAGACCTATTCAACTTCTGCTCGAGGAAATTCAGTCTCAAAACTGTCCTGCTACTTGCTGACCAAATGGTAAGAGTTTGTTTTTTCTAAAGTGACAGAGCAGCTTGGGCACTCAGCACATGCTTGATTTGAGTGGACAGTCTGATAAAGTACTCCGGTGCTGTTCTCCTCGTGATTATGCCTATTCGTGTGCAGGGGGAAAATGGAAGTTCATTAGCATTTGCCATAGGATGATGACCCAGCAGTTGGGTTTGGAGACCCACCCTCTAGGCATGGCCTGGTACATTCACGTGTGGGGTCCCAGTTCCCTCAGGAGCACACGTTTGGTTCCTAGAAGTTTGTCTAGTACAGATGTTGTCTAGGAGTGGCTTTCGCGTCAGGCTGCTCTCTGTCTACCTCCGTGAGAGCCACCAAGGGGGAAATGCCCAGGCCTGTTGGGGGTGCTGAAGGTGGTCAATTGAGTGTCCTCAGGATTATTGAGTTACTTTGCTCAGACCAAGGGATACAGAACATGCAGCCCAGGCACGGCCCTTGCTTTGCTGAGCAGGCTCCTTTTCCAAGGCTGCCACTCTGGGATTTAATCTTGTGCCGCTGCTTCTCTGTCTACAGATTAGTCGTATTGAATACATTCATTCAAAGAACTTCATCCACCGAGATGTGAAGCCAGATAACTTTCTTATGGGACTGGGGAAGAAGGGCAACCTGGTCTACATCATAGACTTTGGGCTGGCCAAGAAGTACCGGGACGCGAGGACCCACCAGCACATCCCCTACCGTGAGAACAAGAACCTCACAGGGACGGCGCGGTACGCCTCCATCAACACACATCTTGGCATCGGTGAGCCTGTGGGTGGTGGGGTCTCCTGTGCCCCTGGTCACTGACCTAAGCTGCCTTGGGTATGTCTGTTTCTCAGCTCAGGGAAAGGCCAGCCTCTGGAGGGACCCTGGGAGTGGTCAGCATGTTTGACGTGGAGGCTGTCATCAAACCTTTGTAGCAAAGGCTGGCTTCAGGACTGTGGAAACCTTGTTTTGTGAGGTGGTGGTGGGGCAGGTAAATGATGGGCTTTCTGATAATCAGCTGTGACGTTGATGTTGCTCATCTGGGGTGTTGGAGAGTTTCCTGACAGCACATCAGGGGCAGCTTCTGGTGAAACCAGAGACTCCATGTATATTTTTCTATGATTTTTAAAGTTCATTTCCAAAGTAAGTGTCTGCCTGGGGCCTTTTGCTTTGCTGCTGCAAGTGCATCTGTGCCATCCTTGACCCATTTCCCTTCTCTTTCCAGAACAATCTCGAAGGGATGACCTGGAGTCACTGGGTTATGTGCTCATGTACTTCAACCTGGGCTCTCTGCCCTGGCAGGGGCTGAAGGCTGCCACCAAGAGACAGAAGTACGAGAGGATTAGTGAGAAGAAGATGTCCACTCCCATTGAAGTGTTATGTAAAGGCTACCCGTGTGAGTGTCCTTGAGTGGACGTCCCGAGCCGGCCCCCTCCCTCCCGTGGTTTCTGTGGGAGGAGGGCAGCTCCTCGTTTCCTGGCTCATTTCCCCAGTGCCTCTGGGGGAGGCAGTGAGGCCATAGGAGGCGAACAAGGTAGACCACCCCCCACCTGCCGCCGCCGCCCCAAGGCTGGCTCCCAGAGTTCCCTCCAAATGCCCTGTGTGATTAGGAAGGTAGAGAGCGGGCAAGTGGCCCTTGCTTTAACTGGCCACAGCCTTCTGTCCCTGGTGTTCCTCGACTGTCCAGAGCCATAGCTCAGGGAGTTCCCTTTGTTGTTGTGGGACTGCCCCTAGGATAAACGCCCCAGATGAGATTAAATTGTGCTCTGTGATGCTGAATTTTCTGAAACTCTTTCCTGAGGCCTAGAGTTTTCAAAATATGACAGGTATTTCCGCTTCCCTCTTTCACACCCTAAGTGTGTAGCAGGGGATGGTAAACAGTAATGTTGACAGACACCATGCTGGGTCCAGGTGGGGTTATTATTTGTTAGCTCTGTGTCTCGTTTTACAGCTGAATTTGCCACGTACCTGAATTTCTGCCGGTCGTTGCGTTTTGATGATAAACCTGACTACTCATACCTGAGACAGCTCTTCAGGAACCTTTTCCATCGCCAGGGTTTCTCCTATGACTATGTGTTCGACTGGAACATGCTCAAGTTTGTAAGTGGCATTGCCAACTCGCTAACTTCTCAGTGTGGAAGGAGACATAGCCCAGTCACTAAAAGGCTGCTGGCGGCTGTCCCATCCGTAGCTGTGTCTTGTGTGAGGAGCTACACTGTACCAGGTTCAGGTTCTGCAGGCTTATTCGCTGCACTCAGGGAGCCAAGTGTACCTAGAAGGGCGGTGGCCTATATGGGGTCTGCCTGAGGGCAAGAGGTTGTGAGAAGCAAGATGCCCGTTGAGGGAAAGCAGAGATGGCACCACGCAGACATGATGGGGGTGTGGGCAGTCAAGGGCCACTTGGAGAGTGTCCACAAGTGCAGGTCTGTCTGGAACTAAAGCTCTTACTTGAATGCTAAGTCTTCTTTAGGTGAGAGGTCATTTTATTATTATTGTCATCAATCCTAAGAGCATCATGGCTTTGACCGTCTGTGATGTTGAGGCGTGGTGCCCACATGTTCATGTGCAGGAGGGTGTGGCTGAGGCCAAGGGCTCCCACCACGTAGGTGGCTTGGGGAGGCGCTGCGCCTTAGGTCTGAGTTTGGTCACCCATCCCTTAGTCGGTTTTATGAATTTAATTAATTAATCTTTGGACACCACTGCCAGAATTCGTTTTTTTGGAACTTCCACTTTCTCTTGTTCTGTTTAGTTATGAGTTTAACACAGAAATTGGAACCTTTCCAAGGTGACAAAATTTGATGGAGGAGCAGAACCTCCTCTTCAGAGGGTGCACAGTAGGAGGAGGCCTTGTCCCACAGGCTTGCAGGTGCAGGGTTGCCTGTACAGGGACCAGGTGGTGGGAGTGGCTGCAGCCTCCCTGAATGGGGATCCAGCTGGCAGAGCCAGCCTGACCCAGACCTAGCCTGTGCCATCCAGGGGAGAGGCAGGTCCTGGGAGGAAAGTGTCCTGCAGGGCAGGCTGGCTCAGGAGCCAGGCCCGTCTGCTAGGGTGGCCTGCAAAGGACAGCCCTGGTGGTGGTGCTGCAGATCACCCAGAGTCTGGACATCAGGGTAGACCTCCTGCTAGAGCCACTTGAAGCTCCTGGTTCTAACATTATCATCTCTCGTAGCAGGGCTTGGCAAACCTTTTCTGTAAAGAGCTAGCTAGCAAATAATTTTGACTTTGCAGTCTATGCAGTGCCACAACCCCTCAACTCTGCATCGTAGCTGGAAAGCCGCAGTAGGCAAATGCGTAAATGAGGAGGCGTGGCTGTGCCAATAAAACTTTATTTGCAGACACAGATGGTGGCTGGATTTGGCCCGTAGGCTGAAGTTTGCAGACTCTTGCCTTATAGCAGTGGTGGTTAGGATGTAACCTTTAGTGTGATGGGTACCTCAGCTTAACCAGTTAAAATCAAATCCCCTGTATGTCTAATCTGTTATTCACTGAAAGCATAACTAGCTGTTTGTGCTGGGAGGAAACCTAGTTAAGCAGTGTGTACCACATGGGCCCTCCCAGGACACACCTGGCTGCTGCCCTTCTCGTTGCATGTGTGCATGATGTTCCTGGTGTCACCATGACAGAGCATTCGCCCTGGGGCCGTGAGTCTGGGCTCTGGTTGCCACTGCTCATGCCTGCTTCTCAGACTCTCCCAACTGTCGCCATGTTGGGCCTACCTCTGGCCTCAGATGATTTCCCGTTCCTATGTGAATATTTACAGAGAAGAGGGTCCCCCAGCTGCCGCAGGTGTTTGGGGTTTGAGGAGGTGCTGTGGTGATGGGGTGGGGTTTCCTCTGCTGTGCTGGGAACAGGATGCCTTGCCCACAGGATTGTGAGACAGGCTGTGCTGTTGTCTGGAGGGAGAAATGTCTTGTTCTGACTTGCTGTTTTGCTGTGGAGGGCGTGTTCACCGGCAGTCTTGTCCCAAATGCCCCTGGTATTTTCTCAAGTTGCAGGGGACAGCCAAGGGCCTTGGGTGGTTTTTCACCAAACCCAGTTCAGTTCTGGTCTCTTCCTCTTTCCTTTTTAGGGTGCCAGCCGGGCAGCTGATGATGCTGAACGGGAACGTCGGGAACGAGAGGAGCGATTGAGACACTCCAGAAATCCAGCCACCCGCGGCCTCCCTTCTACGGCCTCAGGCCGCCTGAGGGGGACACAAGAAGTGGCTCCTCCCACTCCCCTCACCCCTACCTCACACACTGGTGAGTGGTCTGCCGTCTTGCACCATGTTCCCCCTGCCCCTTAGCAGGCAGTGGGGGTTTTTGTGTGTCAGTTGCCCTGGCCACTCCAACTCTGTGATCTCGTGGGGAGCCAGCTATGTGTGTGGAGTTGGGGCAGCCGCACCTTGTGGGTGATGCCATTTGCATCCTTGTTCCAGTCGATTGTTATTCCTGAGGATAGACAGGCCAGGGAACAGCCTGGGACGATGCCTTTGGGAACATTCATCTCACAGGACTTGGTCTCTTGAAGGGCTGAGTTCCCTGAAAGCTTTGTTACTACTGCTTCTCCGCCTTCTCATGACACAGGTTCCTACCCAGCAAACCTATCAATACCCACTCCTCCTTCCCCATCTGTGGCAGTCATTGTACGTGTAGATGCCTGGGCTGCCCTCTCACTGGACACCTGAGTTTTTGCTCCTGGGACAGTCAGCCTGGAGCCCATGCATTGGTGTCCCGGGGTCCTTCATGGACCCTGCCCACTAGTGCTGACCTAGAAATTGGGGTGCAAGCAGTGCAGCATCAGCCAGGGGCCAGTCGCCTATTGCTGCCCTGAAAATCTAGTGAGATGCAGTCCGGTGCACGGCTCGCCCACAGCCTGTTCTGTACTGATGCTGAGACAGGTGAGGGTCTTTGTTAGACACAGCTCTCGAGGAGAGACCCCCATCATGCTGGAGCTCTCGAGGAGAGACCCCCATCATGCTGGAGTGTGGGACCGTGTTCTGAGGCCTCTTGACCCTGTCTCCCTCTCCCTCAGCTAACACCTCTCCTCGGCCTGTGTCCGGTATGGAAAGAGAGCGGAAAGTGAGTATGCGGCTGCACCGCGGAGCCCCTGTCAACATCTCCTCGTCTGATCTCACGGGCCGACAAGATACCTCCCGCATGTCCACCTCACAGGTACGCGCTCTGAGCTCACTGAGGTCAGGACACTGCGGGCCTCTGACTTCCTCGTGTTTGGACTAGTCTCACAGGCTCCAGGCAGAGTGGGGTGGGGGTTTCGAAGGATTTCCTTCCTCCCTCCTTCCCTCCCTCCCCCGCTCCCCTCACTGTGTTCAGCCCCTTGGTTGAGAGCCTTAGAGACAAGCTATGTGGGTAAAGGGCTCGGCTCCCCAGCCATGCTGCGACAGGTAACGGGGCTTTTTCTTTTCTGTTGCCCTCTGCGTGGCCCCCCAGCTCCGAGCCAGCCTTGGAGACTCAGCAGTCTTCCCTATGCAGACTGGAAATGCCACGCCTGCTTGCACCATTTGTTTGTCATAGGCTCGCCCAGCTTTTGAGACTCTCCTCTTTCTTGTTGGCCAGGCGCTCCCTCTAGCAGAGAGCCTGTCGGGGGAGGGGGGTTGCTGGCAGTCACTGTAAGGTGGCATGGACAGAGGCTTCTAGAGCCCAGGGCCTGGTGATGTGCTGTGAGGTAAGCGTTCCCATCTTTTGACGTCCCTGTCTGTCTTCACTCTGAGGAGGAAGTGTGCTCAGAGAAACACCCTGCTGCATGATGGAGGTGGGCGGGCGGGGTGATGGAGGTGCAGGCAGCCAGGGCCCAGCTGAACAACTCTCCACCACTTCCTCCACCCACATCCTCTTCCCACTCTGGCTTTTGTAGCTGTTCTGCATTTGCTAACATGCCTCTCTCAACACAACAGCCCTTTACATACATACTGACTCTCTTCCTCAAATAGCTTTCAGGGTTCCCTCCACAGGTGGGGTGAGGGGGGCGTTGGTAGGTCAAGAACCCGTCTAAGCAGGGCTGTTTGTCCTGCTTCAGTGAGCATCCTGTGGGATGTCTGTTGGGTGGGCGGGAGTGGGTTTCAGGAATGCTCTGGGAGCCCAGGTCCTGGGCTGTGTCCTGGGAGCCCCCCTCTGGTTCACTGTGATGTCTCTAGTTTACAAGTTAGCACCCAGGGGCCCTGCTGCCGGCACTTGCTCAGTGCTTGCTGGGTGCTTGCTTGGCACTGGGTGTAGCTTGTTGCTACATTTGGTGGGTTGAACATGTTCACAGAGTCTGTGAGAACTGCCTGGAACCTGAGTTCTGCGGTGTCTGGCTGGTCTTTTGGCAGAGGAGCAAGGTGTGCCCAGGCAGAGGGAGGGCTCCTGACCACTTTCCTTTTAATCAAGTGAAGTGGATAGTTTTACTAAACACTTCTAATTTACTGATAATTTTACTAGAAATGAGTTGTTTTTGTACAGTAACTTTCTCCGAAAGAGACTGAAAATGCAGCTAGTTTAAATTGTAGGGCTTTGAGGAGTCTAGTCAGGGTAATGAGATTGGGCCTTTTGTGGCCCCCAGCCCCACACCCTTCCTCCATCACCACAGGACACAGAAAGGGCTTAACAGGTTTCTTCCCATGTGCCCTGGAACCTGTGAGTCAGCAGTTGGGAGCATGTCCTGGGAGGTGTCTGCCCAGCGAGCCTGGCAGAGAGCCCAGATCTGTGGCCAGCTCTGTGGCCCCAGAACATCTCAGGTGGGGACGACTTGGGCCTGTGGATGCTGGGGACTCTTTCTGGACTTGACATCTGCTTGTCAGGGGCTCAGCCAGCAAAGACTAAAGAAGGGGCAGGCTTAATTTTTTTTTTTTTTTTTTTTTGAGGGAGATGAAAGAGTCAGAAGGTCCTGTGGGTACCGGACAGTTATGGGTCCAAGTCCAAGTCCAGCCTCTTCTTTACTGTGTGGCCAGCCTCAGCATGCCGGTCCCTGAGCATTGACCACACGCAGCTCCGAGGTCCTTCCTGTAACGTCTTACCTAGCTGAGGCGACCTTATAACTTGGAATCATACATCTTTGCTCTCTTGTTCTTTCCTTTTGCTTTGGGTATGAAGAAAGATAATGGGGATCTAAAGTGTAGCTGGGAGTCTCTAGAGAGATGTGATTTGGGGGTGTTTACCTCCAAAAGAAGCACGTTAGCTTTTGTCACTGGTCACCCTCAGGATTTTCTTAGAATCTTCAGGTTAAGGACATGACCCCTGGGGGTGTGTCCCCAGTGCACCCATGTCCTGAGGATGGCTCTTTCCTTTGGGTTTTCCTGGTCACTATGGGTGCTCTTCCTTAGGAGACTGTGAAAGGCTCCTGGCCCTCTGAGGGCGTGATCAGCGCCCCTGTGGGACAGCAAGAGGCTCTTGAGACTCTCGGCTGTGGTGCTGCCCTCAACATCTTCCCTGGTGGTTTGGAAATTCCAGAGCGAGTGAGGTTGCTCCAGCTTTTACAATCCTATAGCCTCCATTCACATTCATGCCTCTCAAAGAAAGTGAGGTGAAAGTAGGAGCAGCACTGCATCTGTTCAGGGCGAGCTAGAGAAGCAGGCACCATGTGTGCATAAACCCCGGCGGCGCCTCCTGTCAGCTTTCCCCACAGCTGCCATTTCTTGGTTCTTTGTGCCCGTCGAGGAGGAGATGGTGCATCTTGGGCAGATGCAGCAAGTCCAAGGAAGTAGTTTATCTTCAGCAGAAAGGGCTCAGACCCACCAGCCAGCCTGCACCCTCTCCAGCTGGGTGTGGGCAGGGGCCGTTGACGCCCGTGTCCCTTGTCCGGACCCCACAGCCGTCGCACACTCAAACTTTACAGGAGAGTGGCTGCTCCTCCTTGCCCCCACTTGCTTCTCAAGGGCAGCTTGTGCTACATCAGCCCTTAGGGGAAACCACAGTCCCTGCATTCCCGACCCTGGAGTACGAGTTGGGCCTCTTCTGCCAGAATAATGTGGAGTCTAAAGGGCATCTGGTGGGTGACTCTATTTGTGATTTTTTCTCTTTGTGAGCAAAAAGGGCCTCATCAGTCCAGCACTGTTGATAAAACGTAATACTGGTCCCTGGTGCCAGTTATTCCTTTTGATTTGTTTTAATCCATGCCCCCCCAAAATAAAGTTCATAACCTCATCCTCTTCCTCGTGTCAGCGAGGAAATGTGTCTAGTCTGTGTGTCACCGGGAGGTAGCCTTCCTCCCCATCTGGCCAAGCATAAGCTGCTCTGAGCAGCGAGCAAGGCCTTGGGGAGGCGTCGGTGCTGAGAGCCGATTGAGGGGCCGCTGTCTGGGCATCGGGTTATCTTACTGCGTGAGGAGTTAGAAGGGGCCTGTCCTGGCCCCTCGTTGGCCTCATTAACAGCAGGTCAATCCTAGAGGAGCAGCAGTGGCTGCAGGGGCCACTCGGAGAGAGATGAGGCTGAGCTCCTGGGCAGTTCTGGGGACCCCTCTGAGGCGGCCCCGGCCAGTGGTGGTGGACCTGGTTGAGGCAAGGAAGCACTTGTGGAAACAAGAGGGCCTCACATGCTGGTCCGGCCGGCAGAACCCTTACCAACAGCTGTCTTTTCCCCCCACCTCAGAATAGCATTCCTTTCGAACACCACGGCAAGTAGCTGCACGTCTCCCCGTTGGAAGGCAGCACTGGGTGAGTGTGCTCACGTCGGGTCTCACAGACAGCAGGCGCCAGGGCGGGGTGGGAGCTGACTGCCCCTCGCCCGCTGATGGGAGCACGCAGGTGGGCTTGGGCTTGCATGCCAGGTGCTTCAGGTAAAGTGAGGTTCCTCTGCCCAGTTCTCTTCCTCATGTGGATTCCAGAGCAGCTGCAGTCAGCTGCCTAGTCTGGAGGCGAGCAGACCACAGAGAGTCCCCAAACGAGGTGACCCCAGGACCCTGCCCACTGTACATTGGCCTTTGGCCCCCACAACGTTCTCAAGTCGGGAGCCAGCGTGGGGAGCAGGAGGCCAGGGCTCTGCACTTGGCTCCAGTGGACCCAGAACCCTCGAGCTGCCCTGTCCTGGTATCGGGATGTCATGTGCTCCGCTGAGGGGCCGCGCTTGGTGGGGGCTCTTGTGCTCTTGCTGCGTGAGGCTCCTGGTAGTCTCCACCCGTCCTGGCTTTGTCATCTATCTTCCCTTTGCATTTATTTCTGTCTTCCTCGTTTTGTTTTTCTTTTCGAACTTCGTCTCTGCCCCACATCTCATCCCTGCTGTTGTCTGTATTAACCCCTCAGCCACAGCCACTTGCTCCCCTGCCGTTGGTGCATGGCTGGGCGTGCAAGCTGTGCTTCCCTCTCGTCGGCAACACTTGGTGGCTCCTTCCAGCCGAGGGCTTGCAGCTTCTGTCAGGCTCACTGCTGCTTTGAGAGACCCACTGCGGTTTTAACATGACTGCACTCTTGGAAACATCTTGATGGGAACTGCTTGTCACGTCTTCCCCAGAGGGGAGTTCCAGTGCCCACATGGGGCCTGGTCCCTGTTTTCAGAACACTGGGTTACTTTCCAGGAAGGAGGCTAGGAGCCAGTATCTCTTCCCCACTTGGACTCTGGTCCGATCGTTCATGAGTTTCTCTGCTCCACAGCCACCAGGCCTCCTGGCCTGCATGCCTCTTCTTCCTTTCCCATCTTCCTGTCACTTATTCTGCTGAGCACATATCCTGGCTGCAGAGGGATCTTCCGGAGCAGCTGGGGGTGTGAGCGTCCAGCGTGGGGCCAGGTGGCATCCTGGCCCTCCCTCCCAGGCGCCGTCACTGGTGTTCTGTTCCTGAGACTGACCAGCCCTGTTGCTCTGGCCTCATGCTGACCTTCTGTGCTTTGGCTCCGACAGATTCCCGGTCGGGTGGCTCCCAGTGGTCTTCAGTCTGTCGTGCACCGATGAGAAGGCTTCTTTCTGCTCTGAAGGGCACACACAATGCATGGCTGATCTCCTCTGTTACAATGGCTTTCTTAGTGACACGCCCCCGGTCTAGAACCGAAACGCTAACATCAGGAGTTCTCCAGGCCACCCCTCAGCGACGCCGGGGTGGGGGACAAAAGACAAATGCTGCCATCACCAGGGACCACCCTCGAGCCCCCGCAGTGAGTGAAAAGCAGAGAGTGAGAGACAATCACAGAGAGAATCAAACTCCTGTCCAGGGGCCTTTCAGTTCTTCTCCAGTGGTGGTGCACCCTGCTCCCTGATGAGTCTACTGTAACTACCCGTCTTCTACTTGGTTAAGACAGTTTTGTATCATTTTGCTAAAAATTATTAGCTTAAATCTGTGTAAAGAAATCTTTTTATTGTTTCTTTCTTGTCTGTTTTTGCGGTGTTAAAAAATGTTGACTTTAAAGAATCCTGAAACAAAGACACTGCCATGGCGTTGGTGTAGGATGGAGTAAGGCAGGGAGTGGAGCACCGGTGAATTTCAATGATCTGTGCTTGGTGATTTTGTTTTGTTGTGTGGTCCTCTGTGGAGAGGGAATTTTCTCATCAGAAATTCTATCATGTGTGTATGTGTGTGTAAGTAATGTGTGTGTGCTGTGTGTCTTGTGACCTCATTAAACTGGTTTTGGCTGTCAGTCTCCCTTCCCCACTGTAAACTGAAATGCCTGCATAACACAGACCCACCAGGATTCTTGCAATCATCAGAGCAGTTAGCAAGCACTGCGAGCAAGGGTGCGGCAGGTGCTTCCCAGCAGAGCAGCGTGCCCATAATATTCCCAGACGTGGCAAGGAGGAAGCCGAGCACTGAAGACCACGGAAGCCGAGGCTTTGTGTGTGCATCACTGGTCCTTCAGGAGAGGGTTGCCAACCAGGAGACATCAGGCCGCTCCTTGGGGTTATTTTGGTGGTGGTTGTTGGTCTCAATGCCTTTGAATTTGGGAATTTTCTAAACAGACTAAATATCACCGTGCAAGTTGGCCCCTAGTCTGTGTTAACATCTGCATGCTCAAAACCAGGGACGTGGCTGGCAGCCCCAGGTGCCAGGTGTGCCCAGAAAGGCCGGCAGGCCCGAGGGAATCCACTCTGAAGTGCCAAGAAGCAAGGAACTTGGACAACCTGATGGTTCATGAGAGTGTGGTGTCATGGGCTCTCAGGACCTTGGTGGGGACATAGTGAACCCCAGAGATCAAGAAGGGGTGGGGCTGAGTCTCACCACAAAGACCCTGGGGCGGCCAGGCTCTTGACACTCCTCACTCTGCTCTTCACCCTCATTTTGCAGCAGAGGCAGCAGGTGGTGGTGGCAGTCAGTAGACAGGAGCCCCTCCTTCTTAAGAAAGGAGGTGCAATAGGTACTTTCTCATTTCTTCTGTCACCCACTGCAGAGTGTTCTGTTTGACTGGGGCACTCGTAGGAAGCTAGGGACCTAAAGTCCGTGTCTGTAATTTCCCTTCCTGCCCCCAAAGTCACCTGGCACAGGAATGCTGGTCCTGGGATATCCTGACAGGTGTGCGTTAACAGTGCAGAGTGTGGCTCTTTGCTTTTTTCTGGATCCTGAGTGGGCTACTCTGTAAGCATTTTGGGGTGCAGGGACTTGGCCAGGTGGGGCTGTGTCTCTGGAGTGCACAGGGAGCTTGGGTGGGTCAGAGCGAGTTGGCTTCGTTGTGGCCCAACACCGCCTTCAGAGGTCGGCTTCCCCCTCTCAGTGAGGTGTTAGCAGCTGCAGCCCCCAATGTAGTACCAGAGATGGGACCAGGCAGCCTTCCCACATTCTGCATCTGGGTTTCTACCTGAAATTGCCAGATTCCATTTAGAAAGTAGGCTCTGATCTTGAGTCCTCGGCAGTGTGCTTGTGGGCGGTTGTTGCTCTCCCAGAAACGTAGTTGAATGTCTGTATCAACCTGTGTATTGGTGGCCAGTCTCTGAACTATGCGTTTGTGTGAACACTGTGTGTGTGTACTTGACCACCATGTAAATAATAAATTCATGATGACTTCTACCTTTTCCCTACCCCTGACATGTGGTCTTTATTTCATCAGTTTGAGAGTTTTCAGTGTGCGTAGATTAACCACATGAAAACTTAATTTTCTGAGAATGGGCATTCGCGTCTAGCCTCTTATAGCCTGTTGTGGTGTTGCAAACTGGTTGGGAGCAGGCGGAGTGAGACTGGGAACTGGCAGGGACGGGGCTGCTGCTGCCACATCCCCAGAGCTGACACCCGTGTGGGCAGAGCACACCCACCCGTCCACTTAGGGATTTCTGAAGATGCCCTCTCCCCGGCTTAACTGCCTTTACGAAGTGAGCCCCTGACCTCCGTGGCCCTGGGGGTGGCACCATAAGGAAGTACTTCTGCCTGCCTTGGGTTTTCTGCAGAGTGAACAGTGCAGTGCTGGTACAGTGCTGCGTTCCTGCTGCCCACGAGGGGTGCACATGGTTCCCATGAGGCAGCTCCCAGTGGGCCCTTATGCAGACCAAGGGGCTCAGGCCTGTCAGTCCCCAATCCTGTGATGCTCATGCCCAGGATCTCTTCTCTACCCTGGTGTGGCCCTTCTCAGCAGCAGCAGCCAAAGCATCTGGGAAGGCGGCATCTGTCTGTCCATCCATCTCTCGGTTGTGCCCGTGGCTTTGGCCTCTCTTTCTCACTTGAGTTGTTGAAGCCTAAGAGGCCCCCCAATGCAAGTTCCAGATGGACGGCACTGCTAAACAAGAAGGTGGTGAGGGGCGTGGTTGGCCCCTGTGTACACCTGAGCAGCCAGCACCCTGGAGCCCTCCTCCCCAACCCCTGCCCGGCATGAGATTGTGGGCTGCTTTCCCACACCCCTTCTGCAGTCTGGCTAGGGAGGTCCCTCTCAAACTCCTAATCCACCTTCACGTGCTCATGAGCTCCCCTCCCCCAGCATTGTGCCCTGGTGACCGCGGGATTTCCTGGTCCACGTCCACTTGTCACTGGAGCCTTCTAGAACAGACTGGCTTTGTATGTGTGTGCTGGAGGGAAATTGGTGGCAGCCCCGTCGAGACATGCATTCCTGCCCTTCTGTCACTGGGATGGGAAGGGCTGCTGCGTCCCCACCCCCTGCCCACTTCCCTCCCACTTCTGCCTCTCTGGCTGTGCCTGGTGGTCCCTGACGTTCTGGAAGAGGGCTGGGCTCTTCCTTGGCCTGTTCCTTCTCATGTCACTGCCAAGGCCAAGAGGGCAATGTTTGGATCCCCTTGTACCTCACCCCAGTGACCCTCAATGCTTTCCACTCAGAGGCGGCCTATCCTATTCCCTGGTCCCTTGATGCTAGGAGAGCATTCACCACCTTCCTTACTGGAGTCATAGGCTCAGTGCTCAGGAGAGTGTGCTCTGGATTCCGGCCTGGCCTCCACCTCCCACCCTCCCCCAGGCCTCGCCCCCGCTGAGAAGGGGTACTTGGAGCCCTTCCCGGAACCCCTGTGCTGGAAGAGGGGACCTCTCCTGCCGTCTCTCCTGCTCCTGCCTCCATCTGGTGGGACCTTTGGAAGCAGTGCCTGTTTTTGGCGCCATCCTACCTGTAAAGGTGTGTTTGAGGTTACAGGGGAGCGTCTGCCACGTTCTGTGTCCTTGAGGACGCGGTTTAGATGCTGGGAACAACTGGATGGTCCTTCAGGAAAACCCATGAGTGGGCCCTGCAGGTCACTGGCAGACTCCTCAGGCAGCCACAGGATGGCAGCATCTGCCTGCCTACCAGGCCCTTGCTGGTTCCCCACCCCCAGGCTCCCCCAGCATGGGTCCTGTACCCGTGTCCCCAGGTGTTCTCCGCATATGCCCTCCCAAGTGTTTGTGTGTGTGGCGGGTGTCCCCAGGTCTGGCCAGGGTGGGGAGGGTGGGGGCAGCAGCCCAGGGTGGCTTGCTCACATCCCCCTCACCTCTGATTTGGAGTGATGTGTGCGTGCCCTCTGAGGAGGGGCCAAGGGGCCCACTGAGAGTGGCTCACAATGGGTGTCTGCATCACCAAGGGGGTCTTCATAGGGTGTTTGGCATGAGTCTCCTTTGGCAGGGATGTCTGGAGGGTGAGGGGCAGCCCTGTCCATGGCCCCCTGGCCCCCCAGAGGACTGACTGCTCTCCTCGACTCCTCTTAGGGCCCTTGGCGGCCACAGCTTCCTGAGGACGGGAAGTTCCCTGTCTCCAAGTCTTGGGCACAGCTGGAAACATCTGGAACCAGAAAACTAGGCTGACAAGCCACGTGCTCACCCTGTCCCCCAAGGCCCGTAACATCAGCCCCCATTCTGGGCATAGCCCCTGGACGCCGTAACCAGCCAATGTTGTTGCTGCCAGGGTGGGTAGGAGGCCTCGGATCCACCTACCATCTCCAAGGTGTCGGCTGAGGAACAGATGGGCCCATGTTCCCAAGGCCAAGGGAGGGCAGAGCTCTTGCCCACCATGGAGTGCAGGGACTCCAGCCCCCGGGGCAACTGTGGGTTCCACCCCCAACAGAGCAACCCCATAACATACTGACAATCTCAGAATCACTTAAGTGTCCCCAGAGTATGACTTTAGGGGATTGCTGGTTTGGGTGCAGGTGTGAGGACAGGAGGGGACACCCACTTCCTATTGCTCCTGGCCAGCTAGAGGTGAGGCAGCTTAGGATGAGTGAGGACAGATGCCACTGTGGGGTACTGGGCCTGATCAGTGCGTGCTGCTAATTCCAGGAAGCCTGGGATAATGTCACATGACAGGCAGAGTGGGTGTGACCAGCCCCAGCAGGCCCTGAGAGATGGGGGGCAGCTGGGGAGAGGTACATGGGCAAGCTGCCCACTCTCCACCTCCCTTTCAGGCTCAGAGGCAGTTCCAGAGACCACATTTGGGGCCAGCCCTTTGAGACTGGACCAGGGGGGTGCTCCAGTCTCAGTTTCGTCCAGGGGCTGGCCTGAGGGCCTGGGGGCCCTGACTGACCCACCTTACCACCTTACATAGAGCCAGTCACCAGATGCAGGGCTACACCTTGACCCCTGTGACTGTCAGCACTGCCTGCAGCCCCAACTCCTGGCAGAGGGGACAGAAAGACTAGAAAGGGCGATGGGGTCCCAGAGCCAAGGGACTGTGCCTGAGCTGCAGGAGCCTGGCTTCCCCGCAGAGCCTGACAGGCAGATGGAGGAGGGGGAGCTGCAGCTCCCTCTCTGGCCACTTCTCTGTGGCTGGGCCTGAGATATGAGCTCTTGCTTGCTTTTCATTGCAGAGAAGCAGGGACGTGGCATCTCTCCGGCTATACACGTCCCGCCAGGGTGCCCGCAGCTGTCCCCAGCGCCCACGACGCACCACCTATTGAGGCGGCCCCAGCGGCCTCTGACCAGGCTCCCAGCCACGCAGGCCACTGCTGGCCACAAGGGCAGGTGGGTGTGAGGTACCTGGGGCAAGGCCGAGCGGGGCTGGACCAGGAGAACGGGAGCAGATACCAGTCCTGGGTGCTGACCGTGTAGGGCGACTATCAGCCAACCGAGGGCTGAATAAACAGAAAGCAGGAAGATCGTTTTGTTTAAACACACACACCAGTGAACAAAAAATCACACGTATGTCTCAGCTTAGTGCACAAACCTTGTAGGGGCTCCCCAGCGTGGGCTTCACCCTTGCAGCGTGGCTCCCTACCCTGCCAGCCACCGGGGTCCTCTGTAAATGCTCTGAGCTGTCCAGGGGCCAGAAGGGCAGGGTCCAGACCAATGGTGCTTAGAAAGCTGACAGGGCTGATGAGGACCAGAACTACTTTGTAAAAATAACCAAGTTGTTGAGAAAGTGAGATTCAGGGTGAATGGTCAGACTACTATCCCCACGTAGAACAAAACTCCTGTGGCTCCTGGAAAACATTCTTTCCAAGAGGCTCCTCCCACACACAGGTTTATTTCAGACCTTCCAGAGGTGAAGGGAGGGAGCTGTGTTCCCTAGACACTCAGAGAGGGCTGGGCTGGGGCACCACAGGGAAGAGCAGGGCATGTCAGGCGCAGGGCGCAGGCGGGGCCAATGTGGCAGTACACCAGCTGTCCCGGCCCCGCCCCTGATTAAAGTTGTGTTGTCTCTGAAGTGTGGGTTTCTAGGTCCTTGAGCCCTGGTGCAGATGGTTTGTAACTTCCTGGCTTGGCTTGGCTTCACCACAGATCTGCTTTGGAATGACATGGTTCTCACCCTGCCACCTCCCCCGAAAAACACTGATCAGGTGATAATCAGCCGCCCCACCAACGGCCCCGCCCAAGCTAGTCCTGTTTGTGAAATAAATATAAGCGTTGACAGTCTCTGTCCGGTTCCCCGCACCCCTGCTGGCCTCCTCGCCTCAGACGCTTGTTTCTGGGGTGTGAATGACCTCCCCGTTTTTCTCAGGCTCTGCCTTCAGGAAGTGCTCCACCTCCCGTGAGTCCACCCTCACATCCGTGTCCATGGGGGGCTTGTGGTGCTCCTCCTCGGCAGCCGCCTTGGGCCTCCTCCCAATGCAGAAGTTGCCCAGCACCAGCACAAGGGAGGAGGCTAGCACCTCGGCCCCCGCCAGGAGGAACACATACTGGTAGACGTGCGTCGCATCCAGGAGTTTGCCTGCAGAGGGAACAGTGTCAGTCCTGGCCAGAGGCTTCCACTGACTCTCCCTCATGTCTCGTGGTGTCTCGGCATGGGGGATGTGTCCGCCATGGTCACTGGCTACCCACTTGCCAGTGTGCTACCAGGGACAGCCCAGGGGCCTTGAGGCAGAGTCCTTGCCTGGCCCTCCCCCACCCCCTGGGCAGCACAGACCGAGAAGCTTAAACCAGAGTGACTTGGAGGAGGGTTTGGATCCTCGCAGGTGCAGATGGCAAAGTCTCAGGGTGGGGGCCTTGTCCAAGACACCTGAAGGGATCCAGCCCCACTGTCCGTCACCACCTAGGCCCCAGAAGGGCCCCAGGAGCCCGAGACAGTGAGGATTTGGGCACCTCCCCACCCCTGCCCCCTGGACCCTTCAGGGGGGAGGAGCCAGAGGCTGGAGGTACAGCTCTGGCGCTCATGGGGTCACATGGGGGGGGTGGCTACAGGGTCAGCTGGAGAGACCCAAACCCAGGTGAAGAGGCTTGGCCAGCGCCTGGGCCGGGCTGCTCCCCCAGTCCCACCATTTTAAATCTCACTCCAGTACTTTTCTCAGCCTTCAAAAAGAAACGCAACAGCCCAACATGACAAAAGCTGGCTTTTGCCTCAGTCTGAAGCGGGTGGATGAGATGAGAACTGCCATCACCTGTTCCTAGGGCCAGGGGGTAGCATCACCCCCAGACTCACATGTGTGCCAGCCTGTGGCCTCTCCCACGTGCGGTGACACTCGCTCCTGACACCTGCTGATCTGTGCTGGAGTGCGCAGTGGCTGGCTACACTGGGGGGTCCCTGCAGCTAAGAGCCCTCCCACACAACATCCCCTCCCCTTCGCAGGGAAGGCAGGTGCAGGAACTGGGGAACTGCCGGGGGCCTGGCCAGGCCCCACAGAGGGGAGGCGGGTAGCCCCAGCTCTGCAACACTCACCTCCCGAAGGGGGCCCGATGAGCACAGCCACGGCCTCCAGCAGGAGCACAAGGCCAATGGCACTGGAGAATTTGTGGGTGCCCACAATGGCCATTAGCACCTCAAACTGCAGGGCCCCCACCATGCCGTAGGAGATGCCAAAGAAGATGCAGAAGACCACCAGGCCGCCGTAGTCGCTGGCCGTGGATCCCGTGAGGTCGGTGAAGCCATTGAAGAACATGGCGAAGCTGAAGAGGTAGACAGAGTAGGGCCGCACCTTCTTAAGCCCCGTGATGAAGCCGGCGGTAGGCCGGGCGAAGATGTCGATGAAGCCCAGGATGGTGAGCAGGAAGGCAGCCTGGGTGTCGGGCACGCCCAGGTCCTTGGCGTAGCTCACCACGAACACGGGCGGCACGAACAGCCCCAGCACCATGATGGAGGCAGCCACAGCGTAGATGACGAAGCCGCTGTCCCTGAAGACACTCAGGTCCAGCAGCCGCCTGGATGGCCGCTGGGGCCCCGGCCCCGAACCTGGCTGGGGCGCCTCCAGGGGCCTCATGAGCGCGGCGCACACGCAGCAGTTGAGCAGCAGGCCTCCCAGGATGAGAAAGCCACCCCGCCAGCCGTAGTGGTCCTGCAGCAGCTGCCCCAGCGGGGACAGGGCACACAGGAACACGGGGCTGCCTGCGGCTGCCAGCCCGTTGGCCATGGGGCGCCGCTTGTTAAAGTAGCGGTTGAGCATGATGAGGGAGGGCTGGAAGTTGAGTGCCAAACCCAAGCCTGGAGGAGGGGCGGGTGGTGAGGTGCCAGCCCTGCCCGCCCAGCACCCGCCCCGGCCCTGCCCCTGGTTTTTCCAGGCACAGGCTCCAGCCTGAAGGGATCTGTGTGTGTCTGACAGGGTCGATGTGAGGACACCCAGGGTGTGTAGAGAGCAGAGTTCCTGTCATCACCCGACGCCCCTGAGAGACAGAGGGGACTGAGGGACGGGCTGGTGCCCTGGGAGGGGGATACCCCACAGCTGCCGACCCAGAAGGCCCTGTTCTGGGCACGCTGGTCCGTTCTCCATCAACCTGAGTGCCACAGCCCACCCCGCTCCCCACTCACCAGTAATGACCCCTGTGGTGAGGTAGAGCTGGATGATGCTTCCACAGAAGGACGCAGACACCATGCCCAGGGATGCCAGCAGGCCTCCCGCGAGCATGACCGGCCGGCAGCCAAATCGATTGACACACACACTGCAGAGCGGGCCTGGGGGGGACAGCAGCTGAGGCACGCGGCTGAGTCCAGGTGTCTCCCAGCACCCACTGAGAGACTTGCCCCAGGCAGCAAGGCCTGGACTGGCCCCTCCCCTCCTTGATGCCCCACGCCCCAGCTCAGCCGACACAGCAGGAACACCGTGGGCACCAGGTGCCCAGAGCACATCACACTCGCCATCTTCCCAAGCAAAGCACAGTTCACAGCAGAAGTTGCCCGTGTTAGTGGTCTCCCTTCTGGTTGGCCTGTGCAGGCAGCAGGAACCAACCACCTGTAAAGCCTCGTCCTCTGGGACTGTGTGCAACTGTGCAGATACCGCCCATTTGGACAGGGTCCCAGACACACTTGGCCTGTGCCCAGTTTGGCCCTGCGGAAAACACGGCTTTCTACAGGAGCTCCTGGGGGCCTGGGCTGCAGATGCCAAGATGCGCTGGCCACCCCAGGCCTTTTGCCACATGAGGCTCTTAATCAGGACTGCACTTGGTGAACTCCCAGGGGCGACCCCCCCGCCTCGCCTTGTGCACAACAGCCCCTCACCTGTCCCATACAACATGGCCAGCAGGATGGAGGAGATCCAAGCCGTGTCACTGTAGCCGATCCCAAACTCGCGTATGAGCTCCTTGAAGAAGACGCTGACCGCCTTGGGGAAGGCGTATGAGAAGCCCGTGATGACAAAACAGCCCAAGAGGACGGCCCAGCCCCAGCCTCCATCAGGAGCCTTGATGCCCGTTGGGCCCTCATCGACCACAGCCCCTCCCATCGCCAGGAGGGTGGTTGCACGTCCCTGAGAAAGAGGAAGCCAGGCTGACTCGGTTGTCAGGCAGCCCAGCAGCACAGGGACAGAGACGCACCTGAGGTTTGGGCACCCAGGCAGGCATCCCTTTCTTCAGGCCTCAGCCCCTGACAGGAGCCCAGCTCTGGGCCGGCTAGCTGCCCAGTGCTACCTGAGAGCCCCGCCTGTGGCCCTCACCTATGTAGGGTGACCAGCAGCTGCCCTCTCCACGCAGGCCTGGCCTGACCTGCTCCCACACTGCTGGCTCTAAAGGGCAGTGGCTTTTTTTGGGCTCAGTTAGGTCTCAGGTTACGTCCTGAGGAAGGCAGACCCCAGCGGGGAAGTCAGCCCTGCCTGCCCTCCTACCTGACCCTGTGTCAGGAAGCAGCCTCCCACTGCAGTGTGGTTCTGGCAGTCAGCACTTCCCATCCCCTCAGGCAATGAAGCAGGCCTCCGTGGGCAGGTCACATCCGAGAGGGGACCTGGGGCTGGTGTCCCTTGGACCTAAACCTAGATGTGGCCAACCTAGCTCTTCTACCCCAGAGGGACGGGGCTCCCCGATCCTGTCCCCTCTGATCATACTGCACCCCTAGTGAGAGCCTGAAGAGGGAGGGGAAGGCTCGGCTGTGCAGGGGATGGAGTAGGAAGCAGCTGGCAGCTGCCAGACCGTCAGAAATGGACAGCAGTACCACCGAAGAGGCAGGTGGGGAAGATGGGTCTCGGGGAGGGGAGCCCCTCTGGGCGGCTGGGTGGGTGGTAGGGCTGAGCCCAGGTGGAAGGTGCATGCCTGCTGCGGAGTTTAATACTCTGGTAAGGGAAGAGTGGGCAGGGGCAGGCTTCCATCCAGCCTCCTGGAGCAAACTCTTTGGGCCCCCAGGTTGCCAAGGCGAGGAGGGAGCTGGCTGTATCCACTGCCTGCCCAAAACCCCGCAGCAGCCCAGGGATGACTTCCAGCTTTTAAACCCCAGCAATTTAGCTCATTTGCTGCACAGTAACATGGAACATGGGGCCAGCTTCCACCTGGGGTTCTGACCCTCCCCTTCCATCCTTACCCCCACCCTCCAGCTGAGGCTAGCTCCAGAAATCCCCTGCTCAGGGGGCCTGGGGGCCTGGTTCCCCCACCTCACCAGACAGAAGCTGTTCTGAGGAGAGAGTGTCTCTCGCTGCAGGCACAGGGGAGGGAGGGGAGTCCTGAGATCTGTAGCTTGTTCAGTCCAGCCTGCTCCGCTGCCCACAGAAGCGCAGGTCTCTCTCCACTGGCAGTGTGCTGTAAACCAGCTCTCTGGGGGGAGAAAAAGCCCTGATGTGTGGCGTTTGCCAACTCCGTGGTGTAAATACTCCACCTGGGCTGATGCCCAAGGACTTCCTGACTAGGAAAGCTGCTGCCAGCGACACCTGACAGCCCCCTTCCTATCAGCCCACTGGCCCGCCCACTCAGGTTTCATAATCTGTCCCGCTCCACCCCCTGCCCCTTTTCCTCGGATCCTCCTTGACCTAGCACGGCACCGCCAGGTGGCCCATTTCTGCATCTAAGGCATACACGGAGCCTGGGACAGGACTCTGGAGTGAGGACAAGGGCCTCTGTGTCTGGACAGTCTGAGCACAGGTTCAGTGTGGAGGGCAAAGGAATGTAGAAAATGAGAACCCCGCTCCCAGCCTCCAGCCTAGCCTGAGCATCCCGGCCACACGTGCTATGCCCTCTGGGGGCCCTGATCCAGTGGTCTGGGGAGCATCCAGGCTCTGATCCAGTGGTATGGGGAGGATCCGGGCTCTGATCCAGTGATCTGGGGAGGATCTGGGCTCTGATCCAGTGGTCTGGGGGGTATCCGGGCTCTGATTCAGTGGTCTGGGGGGGATCCGGGCTCTGACTCAGCAGGTGTGTGTGGGGGAGGGTGTTTTTTAAAGGGCTTCCTAGGTGATTCCAAGCAGTAGCTGCTGTCTGTGAGCACCACTGTTTGATGACAAGACCCCCAGGGGCCAGCTGGCTGTCAGGGTGATGACAAGGCAGACACAGCCCACTGGAGCAGAACAACGGTCCTGCCCCTACCCCAGGCTGGGCCAGAGGTGCACTGGTTCGCAGCTGGGCCAGGGCCACAGGTGCCACTTCTGGGAAACACAAGAGGAGCTCTTGCCTCTCCCAGGACCCAGACCCCTGTCCCTTCAGGCCGTACCCACTGCTCTTCGCCCTGAATGCTCAGAAGGCTCCTGGACTTCAGTGAGCAAGACGGGGGGTGTCTCTGAGGCCAAAGGCTGAACAGCCGTCCAGGGGATACAGTTAGCTGAAAGGTACATGGGGTGCCTCAACCAAGGGAGCCCCCCCATCCTCCTACAAACATGTCCACAAACCAGTGACCTAGCACAGCCCCCCAGGTGGCCCATTTCTGCATGTAAGGCAAACACGGGACTTGGGATAGGACTCTGGAGTGAGGACAAGGGCCTCTGTGCAGGAGGGTCTGAGCACAGGCTCAGTGTGGTCCCACCCTCAGGGTCTCTCCTCCAGAGCCCTCCTTGAGCTCAGCCATGTGCCTGAGCCTGGGACGAGAGAAAGGGGCAGGTGTCATCCCGCGGCCAAAACACACCAGGTGGGGAGCTGAGGCAGATGTCCCTACCCACCTTAGTGTTAAGTTTAAAAGGTCTCTAAGGTATGCACAGCAGGGTAACAAACTAAAAAATATATACATTTTAGGAATACGCTGTGTGATGCACTGACACTATTTAAGGTAGAAAGCACGAGAACTCCAGACCCAGGACAGTGGTCGTGGTCATGGGGGTGCTGAAGAGTTGGTTGTTTTGGGTTGTGGGCTCATAGACATTTATTGCACTTTTTAAAATAAATCGAGTGGGCCACGCAAAGGCCAAGGAGGGGAGTATGTCTGGAACCAACAATTAGGAATAGCCCAATTCTGTATACCAAGGTCACAAAACAAAAAAAACAGGGCCTCCCTCTGAGGTCTCCCTGCTGCACCAGCCACACCTGGCACTCACCAGCGGGATGACAGGCGCCCCAACTCTTGAGGCTCTGTTCTCTGCTTGTCCACTGCCCGCTGCGGCTTGGGCCCTCCCTGGAGGCTCCCAAGATCCCCAGGAGACAGACGCTGGCTGCCTGTGGGACATGGGGTGTCCCCTGAACTAGCATCTTGGAGGGTGAGGAGGCAGGGGGGTGGATGCCAAGGCCCAGAGGCCAGGAGGGTACAGTGTGTTCCAGGACCTGTGTGGGGCAAGTGGCTGCCACGTGAGGCTGACATGGGGAGGGGCCCATCCTCTGCGTCTGGACCAAGGCCCACCACGGTCGTCTCTCCCACCCACCCCTGAAGGCCCCAAAGGCTCTTCAGACACTGCTGTCTCCCAGCTAACACCCAGCCTGGGGTGCCAGCCACATTGAAATGGCCCCCTTGCCCTGTTCCCCCCACCTCAAAGTGAGCTTTCTCAGCGAGGTTTCAATTTGCCAGTGGAGGGTGGTGGGCAAGTAAGTTAGGGGGTAGGGGCTGCGGCTCCAGGTGTATGGCAGAGCGATTCCACCCAGCAGGGTTGTGCGTGTGTTGGGTGGGGGGAGGGTAGAGAAGGGGCTGGGATTTCCAAGAGCCAATTGGCCCCATCAACCCAGTCCACCTTGGGGGAGAAGGGCCACCAAGGCACAGGCTGACTGAAGTTCCAAGGAAAACCCTGCCCCTGCCCAGTCTAGACCCAGGGTGGGAGGAGTGGCCCCTCTCGGGGGCTGCTAGAGACCCTCACTGCAGGGGGAGGCAGCACCAGCACGTCTGTGGGCACACACCGGCCGGCTGGCCTTTCAGTGACATTTATCCTCCCAGGGAGGCATGCGAACCACGTCCCCAGCCCAGAAATAACCCGCCCTCTGGGCCTCAGAAAGCTGATCTCCCAGGCAGGGTGCGTGTGCCTGCTTCTGGGTCAGGCAAGGTTCCAGAAACTACCCACGAAGGTCCCACAACCCCAGGCAGCTGAGAGCTGAGCAGAGGAAGGCCCAAGGAGGACGGGTCCCTTGGAATGACCTTTAGCAGACCACACATCTGAGGAACCACTTTGTCCTCCCAAGTCAGGGGCTCCTGCCAGCTGCTCCCTCAGGGGTCCACTGGCTATCTGGGTGAGAGTCCCAGCTGGGGTCAGGACTCGGGATCTCATGATCCTGCATCACCTCCTCTCGCCAATGCCCCCCTTCTCTGCCTACACTCACCCTGGCTTTGAATTCCATCTTGGTGTCCACAGTGCCCAGCCCTCCCCGGTCTGCGTCTCCACCTGGAGGGCTGGTGCAGACCTCACACAAACAGGTCCCCAGTGCGACTCCTCACACCCCCACCTCGGGGCCGGCCTTGGCCACCCCCAACCCACATCCTGCCGGCCTCACCCACCTCCTAGGACCCTCCTCCTGCCACTCTATTCCAGCCCACAGGCCCACTGCCATCTCCGGTGCACCCTGGCATGCTCCCCCTTAGGCCTCTGTACTGGCGGTGCCCTCACCCACCTCAGGTCCACCTTGGCTCTGTGGCCCGTCAGCCCCTGGGTTCAGTGTGGTGGCCCGGGCCCTAGAGCCTGCGGCCTGTCCCAGGTGCTTAGCAGGTGTGCCTTCTAGTGGAGACTGGCCAGTTATCTAACCAACTTCCAGGCCTGGGAGACCAGCTCTGGGTGGGCGGGGCAGGAAGGGGGCAATAACATTCCTGCCTGGACTCTTGCACAACGAGGCCTGGGAGACATGCCTGAGCACCAAGGAAACAGCCCCAGTGTGGCTAGCACCAGGCTCCTCTCAAGCCCCGAGGTCCCTGAAGCCCATGGGGGTGGCCGGTGGACAAGAGGGTGCTGCACCCTCAGGAGGAGGCGGGGCTCCTGCTTTCTTTCTTTCTTCCTTCCCTGAATGCCCCTGTTGTGCAGAGGTCCAAGATGCCTTCGCCTGCCAGGAGCACAGAAAGCACCACTGCTCAGAGCCCGTCTCCTTCCCAGGCTGGGTGCAGGACCCCAGATGCCCATCTCAGCCCTGCCCCCACCTGTGTGTAGAGCTGTACTAGAGAGAGGTGCCTGGGGGTTTTCTGGGGAGGTGGGAGGTGGACACTAGTCAAGGGTCTGCCCCAGGCCTGATTCAGGCCTACTAGGACCTTCCACCACCTGCACTGACCCCGCAGCCCCCCAGCGCATGCGTGGTACCCCCGCAGGCTCTCCAATGGGCTCACATCATCTTGCAGGGGCCAGCAGGGCAGAAACACTGGACTCATTCGCCAGACTGGTCAATGTGCCCCGGGGCCAGCCCCTTGCTCTGAGCCATTCCGCTCTCCAACACCATCCCTCACTGTGACAAGGAGACCATAAGTGAGTGGCCCTGGGGACGTTTTTGGGCTTACCCTGTCGGAGCCCCCTCTTCTGGAAGGCTCTGAAGGCAATGTGGAGGGGCCAGAAGGCAGTGGAGGCTGGAGCAGGGCCAAAGCCACCCCCCCCTCCAGGCCTGGACCCTGCCCAGTCCGGGAGTGCCTGGCCTGCCCGTCCATGCGGCCACCTTGTCCCATTCCTCATCTCCCTGCAGCCCCCCACCCTAAAACCAGTGACCTAAGGCGAAGGCCGAGAAGGAGGTCTCTGCGTCAGCAAGCATTTCATCAGTTCCCACCACCACCCCATCCGGCCTTGTGGGGGCAGGTGGCTGCGGAGGACAGGAAGGCTGCGTGAGGAAGGAACCTGAGCTCATGAACCCTGAGCTCCACCCACCACCCCCCGCTTCCGGCTGGGCAGGTGGGGGTCGGGTCCCACCAGGTAGAGAGGGGGTGGGGTGGGGGTGGGACGCGAGCAGGCTTTGCCTGCCCCGCCCCGGCCGCTCGCCTGGCCGCGGGACGTGGGGAACGTGACCGCGCCGAGGGAGGAGCCGCCGCCGTATTGTCTAGAGTAGGCGCCCTTCCCGTCCACTACCGTATTGGCCGGCGCGCGCGCTCCACGCGCGGAGCTGCCGGAGTCACCGAGCCCCGGAGCCGCACTGGGCGCCAGCGATTCCGCGCGCCGAAGGGGACCCTGCAGCCCCTCTCGCGCCTCCCGCAGGGCGGGGACGGCTTCACTTTCCCTCCACAGGGGCCAGGCCGAGTCGGCGCGGCGGGGGATGGGAATGCTGACTGAAGACTCCGGGTCTCTGGGACCGGCATCCCGCGCGGCCCATTTCACAGATGAGGACTGAGGCCAGGTCTGTCGTCGCTGAGGCGACGCCGTCAGATGGGGACTGAGACCAGGAGGTCTGCCCTCGCCGAGGCGACGCGGTGAGCAGCCTCAGGCTCTGTGCGCTCCCGCCCCGCCCCCGCGTCGCGGCCCAGTTCCCGGTGCGCCCCAGGCTTCATCCGCAGGCGCCTCCGACGGATCGATCGCTCTGCGCAGCGTCTTCTCCACTCGCCACCTCCCAGAAGGGCCAGCGCGTGGCCCTGGGGTAGCTGTCCTGGGCTTCTCAGATCGAGGGGGCGGCACTAGCCTTTCCCCTCCACACCGGCCAGGTCACTGCGGGGACCCGCCCTCGAGCGAGTCCGGCCTGGCACAGGGGACGCCGCCTGCCAGTGAGTGGGACCCACAGGCCCCCCTCCACACACACTCCCTGGCTGCTGTCCTGGGAAGCACGAACACCCCCTCGTTGCTGCCCCTCCAAACTGAGGTGTCCAGCTGGAGTCAGTGTTGCCTCCTGGGTGTCAGGCCCTGCCCAAGGTCACCCAGGGTCATTACAGAGCCTGCCTTGGGACCAGGCCTCCCAACGCCCATGCCAGGCTGTGTCCACACCACAGACTGCTGTGCAGGAAGGCTCCACACCTGCCTGGGCACTGCCACCAGTGCCCTGAGAGCCCCTCTAGGGGCAGACATCCCACCATGGATCCCGTCCTCAATCACTGCTGGCCCCCAGGGGCCCAGTCCAACCTCCACAACACACTCCTGCATCTTTCCCTCTCCCTCCCAGCACCCACCTGACCCAGCAGACCCTTGGGCCTTCGGAATGAGGCAGGGGACCCCTGGAACCCACCCACCCACTCAGCACCCACACTTGCTCTTGGCTTTAGACAAGCCCCTTGGGCCTAGGTTGCATGGGGGAGGGTCTGGCTGCCATCCACTAGTCTTTCAGACCACCCAGCCTGGCCATGGTCATCACACAGGGTGACCCTGTCAGCCCAGGCACCTCGGGACGTGCAGCTCAGTGCCTCTGGGACAGAGAAGTATTCTGGCCCCTCAGCTGCCCCTTTGTCCCTCACCTAGACTCCAGCCACCCCCAGTGGCCACCACTCTACTAACTGCTTCCCTTCCACTCACATGCCTGGTCCAGCATCCAGGTAGGTGCGTTATCAACCCACTTTTCAGAAAAGTAAACTGAGGCTCTTGAGGCCCCACCTGGTTTTCCCATGGGCTAAGGGCCTGGGGGGGGGGGTGAACTGAACGCAGCGAGTCCAGCCTGATCCGGAGGGGCGCCCACCTCTTTGCCCTGGGTCTGGGCTGAAAGCCGTCGTCCGCGGGCGGGTGTAGGTTGGTGAGTGCACGGGCGGCAGCGACAAGGGGGAGAGATGAGGGAGAAGACGGCCGGCGGGAACCCCCCCACCCCCAGCGCCGCGGCCCGGAGCGCACGTGCTCCCACTCCTTCGGGGAGGGGGCCCGGGCCGGGCGGCAGTCCCACCAAACATAGCCCGCGCGCCCCGGCCGCCCGCCGCTTACCGAGCTATTTATACCCGGGACCCAGCTCGGACACCCGGCGCAGCCGCCTCCTGGCCGGAGCCCAGCCCCCGAGGGCCGCCCGACGGAGAGGCACCCGGGCCCGGCTGGGGGAGGCGAGGTCGCACGGCCCGGGTCCGAAGGCGCAAAAGGGCGCAGCTGGCTCCCCGGGGCCCCTTGGCGGGAGCCGCCGAGGGTGGGGGGCTCGTCCGTGCCCGAGACGACCCCGGACTAGGAGAATAAGGGACGAGGGAGGCGGAAGCGCGGACCTTGGGGCCGCCCCCACGCCGGGCGCGGACTCAGCACCAGGCGGCGCAGAGGGTCCCGGCCCCTGGCCCGCGCCGAGCATCTGGGCCGCGCCTACCTGCCTCCGCTCGCCGCCGCGCGCCTCTGCCGGTCTCGCTGCCGGGCGCCGCGCCGGGGGCGCCTCAGTGCTCTGGTAGCTCGCGCGGCACGTCCCCCGCGCACGTCACCGCCGCCTGGCACCGCCCCTGCTCGCCCCGCCCGGACCCCGCGCCGCCGCGGGAGGGGCGCGTCCGGGGCTCCCGAACGTCGCGTCCCCAGTGCTCCCCCCGGGCCGAGGGACCCCCGCGCGAACTCTGGCCGGGAGTCGTGTCTTCTCGTCTGGCCAGGCCTGCGCTCCCCGAGTCCTCGGACCGGTCCCCGGTCTCGCCTCCCCCTGGCGCTGGGCTGGGAACCCCGGCGCTCAGACCCCTCCCGACCCTCCGTCTCCCCCTTCATGTGCGCTCGCTTCCTTCCGCCTGGGCTCTGGTGGGAGCGGGGCCCGGTACCGAGTGCTCCGGGGCAGGGATCCCCTCGCCCTTCCACGCCCGGGCCGCGCCCTCTGACAGGTGGACGCGCGCACTCACCTGCACCCCGCGCCGCAAGGTGTCCGGACCCCGTGGGATTCCCGCCTCCTGGCTCGCTCTGAGGCCCAAAGGCCTCCCTCCCCAGACCTCCCGGGGATCTGCGCCCGCATCCAAACCTCAGCTTCCTCCCGGGCGCGGGCGGCGGTGGCTTCTTCTGGGCCTGGGAGTGGGCCTGGTCCCCTGCGCTGCCTGGGTGATCTTGGGCAAGGCCGTCATCCTGTCTGAACTTCCGTTTCCCCATGTGGCTCTGCGTCCTGCGAAGCCAGATAAAGCCTCTGCCCCCAGCCCTGCGCAGTTGCCCCTCCCTTCATTTGCCCAGAGCCTGGCCGGGCCCCCAGGCGTGAGCCCTATGCGCACATCCTGCCACACTTGCCCACGGGGAAGGGTTGATCCAGGCTGGTCCTAGGCAGGGTGCTTCGAGCCCCATCTTTCTCATCTGCCGCATGGAAAGAGCTAAGGTTTGAGGAGGCTCCAGGGAGTGTGGACTTTGGTGGCCTGGACCAGGACACCACTTGGTGGTGGCCACCCAGCCAGGACCACAGGAACACTTTCCACCCAACCAACTTCAAAATGGCACCCCAAGTCTCCTGGGGCTACAGGAGGCCAAAGCATTGGTAACTCTGGGTGTTGTCACAAAGATCCCAGCTCATCCAGGATGGGGGGCACAGTGAGCATCCGTGGTAGATTAAGCCCTCCAGGGGCCTATGGAGGGGGCAAAGTAAAGAGGGGGGCAGATGGCAGTATTGGCCTCTTGACCCAGAGTCCACCATCCAACCGCCTTCTGAGATGCCAAGTCCACTGAGGCCTTCTGCTTTTTCTTTTGGATGCTGAGAGACCACACCCCACAGGCCCCCTGTGAAAAGAGCCCTGGCACTCACAGAGGCTGGGCCAGGTCTGGTCCCCGACCCCTGCCTGGGGCCCAACCACCCTTACTCCAAAATGCTGTAGAAATCGCTACCTACGCATGTGTGTGTGAGAGAACAGTGAGCAAAGTGCAAGCCTCCAGCACCGCTTGGGGGCCAAGGGCTCCCTGGACGAAGACCCCACTTAGTTGGCCTGGACCCTGGATGTCTATAGATGCCTTTGGGCGGGGAGGCTGTCCCCATGGGATTTCGGCAATCCAGCCCAACCTCAGGTGGTACCCCCATCTGCCTGCACCAGCTGACACTCCCAGGCTTCCTCACGGGCCACAGGTGCACAC